CACCCCAAACCATAACTCCAACAGTGTGATGAACATGTCTTTAAACAAAAACTGTGGATTCCTCCTTTCACCACGTCGCCTTCTAACCCTGGCACGACCGTCGTGCATGTCTAAACAAAAGCGAGACTCGTCACTAAAGACAATACTGTTCCATTCCTGATCCCAGAGTGACCGTTGTCTGCACCACTCAAGGCGATTACGTCGGTGTTCTCGAGTTAAAGGGAGGACCCAGTGTGGCCGGTATGAAAACAAGCCAAAACTTCTCATTCGTCGGTAAACACTTCGCATGCCAATAGGTCTTCCGTGTTCTGCAACCCATTCATTTGCAATGGACCTAGTAGTGGAGAAACGGTCCCTTAAGGCCAATAATCTTAGGCGGCGATCTTCACGGTCTGTTGTTCTACGGCGGCGTCCAGTGCCCCTTGCTCTTTGCGTACAGCCTTCTCGAAGCCATGCCTGACAACACCTAACCACAGTGTCTACACTTCTTTGCACTCTAACTGCAATTGCCCGAAAAGATAGTCCAGCTTCCCGAAGTCCCACTATACGGCCCCTATCAAACTCACTAAGTTGACGAAATCGTACAGGTCTCCGTACTCTAGGCATCGTAACCGATCGTAAAGGATGTCAAGAACCAAAATCCGCCAACGTTGATTCTTTACTGCGGCTGAAATATTCATTTTTAGAGGGTTAGTGAATTAAAAAAAAGCAGTATAAAAACCGGAATGTCCAACTGATAAGGCTGAAAATTTTTTCACTTGTTATTTACAGTAAGATAAATACATTCACCAACTTTTATTAAAATAAAACCATTTAAACTGGGTGTTCGGATTTATATGTCACTTAGTATATATCTGACTTCTCCTCCACTCTATGAGTTCAACTTCCTATCTGTTGTTTCTTGACTTTGAGTTAGGTATGTATGGCTCGTTTCAGTAGACGTCGCACATTCAATGACTTATCTCTGCAAGAAATATTACATCCACAAATTATGATCAGACGTATCTTGGATCGTTGGAGGACTTCTTTAAACTGAGATCGACATTTCCTGAAATTCAAACACTTATATGTTTCCATTTAAAGATTATTATATTTGTAGAACTCGTAACAAAAGGAATAGCATATTGCTAAGATCACGCTAGACACATCGAAATATTAATAAGAGTAAGTGGAGTGGCATCTGTGGTTGAAAGCAAACAAATCCCATTTTTTAACTGTAAGAACCCTATTTGAACCAAGTACTCATGAACTTGAACGGAGATCGTGATTTACAAATATATATTTTTTATGTGTGAAGCCAAGTAACTTTGATAGCCTTACCAGCGCAACGTCAGTGGCAGCTAGTCCTTTTAGAGCATGGTTATCCTACTAGTCATGCATTGTCTTGCCCTTTTATTATTTCTTACTCCACTAAAATAAGATACTATGATTTTTGGTTGTTATCTGACATGTACATCGTAATTGTCTTTTGTCATTTTTTCTTCATCTTCATTTTTCTTGACTTCTATATGGTGCCTCGAATTTTTCATGATTATAGTCCAGTTTGACATTTTGTCTCTGTTGACAGGTAACAGAATTTCATTTTTTATGTAATTACTTTTTTTCCCGGGAAAAAATATGTTATTTTTTCCTTGATATTGTATAAACACATAAGCAAAGGTAGATATTTAATTTTAGAATATTTCATTATACAATAAAGTTACATTTCCTTTATATCAAAAGTACAATTATTGTTAAATGTGCATTGCATGAATGACACGTTCCTTAAACTATTCGGTACAACAGTCGAATTTTCTTGTGTTGAAATTATATGTTTTTCTGCCATCACAACTCCCGTTGACGTACTTGGTCGCAAATACGGTGTTATTTCAGCACTACCACACGTTCTAAACACTTTATTAGCTATTTCTGTCCTGTGTGCTGCCGATTCATCATTATACCCTTCAGCGACCGTTGATGACTTCCAACCGCCATGTTTCTTTAGTGTCATCAAGTCTCCCCCACAACCTGATTGATACATTTTCCATTGTGATATGCATAAAACAGGCGGCGATCCTTCACACGCACATTCGTTAAAATTTAATATATTTTTCAGTAACTACAAATCTCCTGTTTACATCATTCTTTGTTTCCTTAAGTTTCACAATTAATAACGTTCCTGAATCTTCAATATCATCTAATGTTATCTGGCTGATTTCACAAAATCGACAAGCTCCTGAAATCCCAAATACAACAACAACCTTGGCCATGAAATAAACCTCATCGGGAGCATTATTTAAAAAATCTCTAATTTGTGTGCTCGTAAAAATCGCAGCTTTCTTGGGATTGTATCATTTCCCATTTTGTTTCAGAAATGTGATTAGTTTGAAATATTTTGAAATCCAATTATAATTGATTGTAACATACTTTTAATCATTGAATAATTCGACCACACTGTTGATGGCTTTTGTTGTTGCGTTAATTCCGAAAAATAAACCAATAACACCGTCTCCGACAATGAACTGCATGTTTTTTTCATCTTCCATTCCATGAATCTTGAATACGCGGTTTCGTAAATTTTCCGCGATTTACCTGGCAATAATATTTGTGGCGCTACTTTGGCTACTTCCACTAATTCCGGTGGAATCAAAGAAAACTCGGAATCAGCCATTTTTTACTTTATAGTATTAAAAATAACTTCTAAAAAACCACTAAGTTCACAATTTTTAAATCAAATCACAAAATTAAATTGACAGCTATTTGATTACTTTAAAAGTTTCCTTAGCAGCGCAGGTCTAATTGTCGCTATAAGTACAACATGACCTACTAATTTCAAAATTCAAATTTCACATTCACAATTTTCTGACTTGAATATTGTAATAATATAATTTTTAAATATTAAATCGTCGTTTTTCCCAACACGAAAAAAGATTGTGTATTATACACGGGAAAAATACTAGATTTTAGTGTTCGGAATAGCAAATCGAAATAACTTTAAGTATTGTTTGAAACATTTTTTAATAAGCATAATATCTGTGAGTTTATCAGTGTGTAAATGTTGTTTATTATCTTGTTTCATTTATAGTTTTGTTATGTCTCTGTATATAGCTGCTCCCTAGACGATTTCTGTACAAGCTTTGTTTGCCTGAAGAAAAATAAATTATTGTTATTATTATATCTGATTATCTGATCCAAATTTCAGTGTCAGTTCTTTGGTGGTGATTCGGTGTTCACTTTTTATTGCAGAGGTCTCTTTGTATCCTTAACATGACACCGACACTTTCGTGCCTTGATGGCAAGGATTAGAGTTAATGAAAACATTTTAATCAGAACTGTTGGATGTGCTGGGTTTTAACAGTAGTGTAAAAATCAGATGTGGCTATCGAGAAAGCACTGAGTCTTTCTTATTAAGAAAGGTTGGATAAACGACAAAATGTCTAGATTAGACGAGAGCATTGGTGGTACATGTGTAAAGATGTTGAATGGTTTATGGTCAAAGCTCTGCCTGTCTTTGCCATCTGTTTGCAAATTATTGTTTCTATACCCAGAAAAGTGTAATTCGAGTGTTATAACTATCTGAGCTCTACGGTAAGGATGCGAAACGTTTTTTGCATCCAGGAAGGAGCGTTCGACTAGTCACCAAAAAACTACTAATTCTGGATCCGAAATCTTACTGAAAAGTGAGTCTAGTAACAGGCACATTGATAAAAAAATAAACATATCACTGACAAATGGAAATTATCTAAATATTGTTTTTAAGCGTCAGTGAAAACGAATTTCTCAGTAATCAACACACGTTAGTTGTTGACTGATTCAAAATGCGAGATTTTAAATGAATTGACCGGCCCACAGCCGTGACTATAAGCGTGTAGTCGGTATGACAACGAGTTACATAGCGCAGTATCAATATCGCATCCTAGAATAATCAATAATTTATATATGTGCAGTTGATAAAATTATGACACTCGTGCTACTACTATGCCAAGGACGCAGTTTTTGAAATTCGATAACACGAAAAAAATAAAAACCGCTCAAACATCGTTTTTTGATACATCAGAGGCTTCTGATCATTTTCAGAACAGTTCTTTTGGCAGTATTTTTTTATACACTTCGAACCCCTATTAGTTGTACGCACTATCATTACATTTTTCACACTTCTTAGATTTTCCGGTACATTTGTACTTAAAACTTAAGAAACTAGCATTAAATGGGTGGGGACTTTGGAGTATGGACTGATTGCATGGGCCTGTTTGGCTGACTTGATCCATTCAAATTTATTGTTATACGTGTTTGTAGCTAGTTCAGAGGGACTAACTTGTGGTGAATATAATCGTTTATGAGCTGAAGACAATGTTGCGTGGGAAATGCTGAGACTCAACCGACTTGACACCGTTTTCTAACATCATTTGTATTAGATAGTAGCTGGGAAGTCTATCTCTTGGAAACATCAGTGGAATGATTGTTTTAAGGTAGCTTTCAAGTTCAGTCAACTCATAAACATATAGTGGTTTCAGCCACCAGGTTAACGATATTGGATAAATATATTTAAACACTTAGTTAGTATCATCAACACCGGAAACCAGGAAGCGATTTATCACAAGTGCCGTAAAATGCAAATGACTGCTGCTGGAAGGCCCGCGCCTGCCCGCATCCACAGCCTACCTTGTTTTCAAATTAAATACATAATCACCGCCTAGTCCCACTGGGGATTTGTGAATGATGAATCACACGGATTTGTTTTGCTTTTGTTTTGCTTGGTTAGACTAAGGAATTAGATGCCTAAGGGACCCAGTTAACTAGAAGAGCTTTAATTAGGAGAGCAGTATTATTGTTTTCTTTTTGTAGGGTGTGAGTGTGGATCAGACAGAGCGGTATTCTTTACGCATTTGTTGGAATGTATCATGAAACTTTAGCATTTCTCTTTCGAGTCATACCCAATACTGAATCATAGGAGCAATTAAAAATAGCTACAAATCAAAGACCTCTTCCCACCATCCATTATATTACGTTATTTATAGTAGAATGGAATGGCTGAAAAAATTGACATGAATTTTAGAAGAAGAAGAAAATACTACAGTCTCCTGAATGAGATCTAGGCAAGACCGATATAAAATATCTTAGTGATATGGATATCAAATGTAATTTGTGGTTTCTGCGAGGATTCAGTCCTTTTGAAAAATAATTAGTTACTTTTTATAAAAATGCATGTCTGCAAAATTGGTCTACACAGTTTATCGAGAGCTTTAACCGATTATTGTAGGAATCGCATTTCGCCTTGCAATTTAGATTTTGATTATATTTTGTAATTTTTTGCAATATGGGCGATATTACGGTTCCAAAGAAAGCAGAAAATTCACTATTTTTTAATTCTTTTAAGTAATAATTTTTGGTGAATATTTGAAAGTCAGTTTCGTGATTTAGCACCTAATACGCCGAAATTATTTCGATTAACGCTGATCAAACTTCTATTCTTTTTTCATCAGATTATAGTCGTGAATTATTGCACCCGGTTTTATACTACTACCTACCAGTATCATGGTATGTTTACAGAGAGTGGCATAATTGATGTTAAAAGATAAAACAAGTTTGACTTGAAGGACCTTTCACGGATTTTCAAAAATAAAATGTTTAGGCAACTTCCAGTTTATATAATTTTGGGTTATCAAACTTAGGCAACGTAATTACAAAAACAGTGGTAACATTTCTAGAACAGAAATTACTTAAAATACAACGCGTTCAGTTCTTTGCCTAGATATAGGGTATTATAAATTTCTATTCCATTGATGAGACTGACTGAGGATAGAACAAAAATCTGAATATGCATCCGTGATGTGATATTACTGATATAATTCCTCCATTGCAAATTTTTAACAAGTTTTTACGACAGTTTTTATAAAAACACTGTGGAATTTTACCCGAAATACTCAAAACATTCTCCTAAAAAAGTGGTATGACATAAGTTTAGCGGTTACAAACTATGTCCCATTATATTCCTCATTCATAGTTGCAATGCAAGTGCGGAAAAGTGCGTGGGGTAGAAAATATTCGTCTTTTTTAAGTGGGGAACAGGTCTCCACGACTCTGGTTCAGTCTTGTGCTACTTTATGAGTGTTACTTAAGGTGTTAGCACTACTTATAAAAGTATCTATGCCGTTTATCGAACCTTTTTGTGTCATTTTTCTACAGGGTGTTTCAGTTTATTGTTGCATAACTTTAAGATTCGATAGAACTTTTAAAATTAATGCATAAAGTCTATATAAACGTGGGTCGAAAAATGCGTGGCTTCCGAAATACAGGGTGTTTAAATTTACTTTCTAAAATATTATTTTTAAATATTTCGAACAATATTTGATGTATAACAGTGAAAATTGGTATACAAGGGTTTTTTGTGTTTTTTTACTGTAGCCGCTAGAGGGCGCTCTCTACTGTACCTGTAGTGTATTAAACTGACCGAAAAATTTTTTGAATAAAAAAACTGATTCTTCGCACTTTTCAACATAAAAAAGCTCTCCTGTGAGTTTTCGTTATAGTTATCCGTTTTTGAGATTCGATTTTTAAGGTTCGATGCATTTTTAATTATTTATGGGAAAATGATATTTTTTTTACATTTTCGATTTGGGCATTACAAGTAATTAAGATGATCGTTTAGATTGTGTTTTTAAACACAGCAATAATTCCTAACTCCAAATAAACACAAAAAAACAGAATATTAATCTGTTTAATTTTCCAATATTATTTTTAACAAATTAAATGAATATTGGTTGCTATTGGATAGTTAGGACAAACATACAAAATCTAAAGTAGTTGCTCGAAATGTAAACCCAATTGTTCAATACACAATTCACATCTACGAATGATCGAACGTGGTATAGCATTATTCAAATAAGACCTTATTACGGGAGTCTGGTACACTTTTTCTTTTAAAAATCCCCACACAAAAACATCTAATGGATTTAGGTCAGGGGATCGTGGAGGCCAGGCCACTGGTCCTTCACGGCCGATCCATATTTCTGGATAATTTTCGTCCAGCCAGTTTCTAACTATTCTCAAATAATGAGCTGGACAACCATCAAGCTGGAACCAGGCCAATCTTCCAAGAAGGTCGCAGCATTTAACCTTGCAGGCAAAAGGTAGGGTCCAAATAGTTGATTACGGTAGATACCAATCCACACGTTCAGACTAAATTCATCCTGAAAATTTCTTTCCCGAACTGCATGCGGATTTTCATGCGACCAAATATGTTGATTATGAAAATTTACCACTCCACGTCTAGTGAAGCATGACTCATCGGTCCATAAAACGTTACTTAAAAACTCCCTATTATTATCAGTTCTATCAAGAATCCACTGACACAATGTGATTCTTCGTTTTCCGTCCCCTGGCTGTAGTCCTTGCACAGGTTGCCAATGGTAAGGACGTCTATGGTCATTTCTAAGAACACGGTGAACATGGCTTGCTGAAATTCTTAAGGCACCAGAAACTCTCCTAACACTTGTGGTCGGATCTATATCAAACTCACGCAGAATCATACGGGTAAATCTGCGCTGACGAACATTTATGTTTTGATCCCTTTGGAGATTTCCAAAACCATTTTCAATTATTTGGCGATGCAGTCTTACAAATACTGAGCGAGTTGGATGTCGTCTGTTTGGAAATCTTCGTGCGTATTCTCTGGCTGCTTCTGCTGCGTTTCCATTTACAAAGCCATACACAAAATGAATATCCGCTAACTCTTGATTGGAGAATAAAAATGGCATTTTTATAAAACAGGTAAAAGAAACTAAATTTCGTGCATTCACAATTGCAAAAAAACCTTTCAGGTTTCAACAGACAACAAAACTAACTGTCAACTAATTGACGTTTAACCTAATTCTGCTTTCAATTTCAAAAATATTTGCAGGCACAGCCTACTTCTAAAAATTATCGAGATACTGACCTTCTAACGTTATTTTATCATAAATAATTAAAAATTCATCGAACCTTAAAAATCGAAATATCTCAAAAACGGCTAACTACAACGAAAATTCACAAGAGAGCTTTTTTATGTTGAAAAGTGCGAAGAATCAGCTTTTTTATTCAAAAAGCAAAAAATTGCACTGTGAAAAAATGTTTTCGGTCATTTTAATACACTGCAGGTACAGTAGAGAGCGCCCTCTAGCGGCTACAGTAAAACTATGCCCATGGTTCGTTTTGTCGTACCAAAAAAACCCTTGTATACCAATTTTCACTATTATACATCAAATATTGTTCGAAATATTTAAAAAAAGCTACTTTAGAAAGTAAATTTAAACAGCCTGTATTTCGGAAGCCACGCATTTTTCGACCCATGTTTATATAGACTTTATGCATTAATTTTAACAGTTCTATCGAATCTTAAAGTTATGCAACAATAAACTGAAACACCTTGTATACCTACTGCTTTTTAATTACCGTATATGAAAGGGTACATGCAAAGAATAGAGAGTGTCACAATTTTGATTTTCTATAGTATCCTTGTATATGATATTTTAATGTCCAATCGTTAGCCCTTAAAATAAGTAAACAGATAGCGCCAAGAATACATTTTTATTTATGGCCGAAACTTAAAGAACAGGGAATGCCCATATCATACCGGCAAAGAAGAAGGATTGTCCAAAATGACAGTTGTAATTTAGAGATTAGCATCTATCTGACGTTTGCGGTATAATAATTTGAAGTTGAATATATCTGATTCAGATAATGATGACAAATATCAGAGTATTATTAACAAATCAACAGACAAGAGAAAGAGAACTGGTAGAACCGAAGGTAGAGAGTTGCGACTTTCTTCTCATGAACAAAGTCTAACTGTTCAACGTTCAAAAGTTTTGAGAATATAAATGTAAATAATCAAAGAAATATTAAATATTTCAATTCATTTGCTAGTGCGTCACGAACAGGACTTATATTTGTCAGGGCTTATAAATGTTTATAATGTGAAACGAAGAACAAACAGGAAGTTTGAAGATGAGACCAATTTTCATATAGCTGCATGCAAGTGCGGGTTAAAGATGAAGATATCAACAATAATGTTATAAAAGATGTACTTGTATGTTTAGCATTCATTGCACTTCATGGAATTATGAAAGAAAAGGTTGAATATCTACAAAAAAGCATAAAACAACAGTGAAAGTTCCAGTAGATCAAAGAGACAAGCATGAAAATCGTAAAAAACTTGCATCAGAGCTTAACGAAAAAGATTGAAATCATACTAACTCATTTAAAGGAAGAATGAGTCTTTACAGTTTAAAAATAGTAGGAAACTAGAATATGATTCAAAACCGAATATTCTGATAATTAAATTGGACATTCTTTGTTTTTTTACTTGTTTGTATGTTTAGCATTGATTGCACTTCATGGAATTATGAATGGAAAGGTTGAATATCTACAAGAAAGCATAAAACAACAGTGAAAGTTCCAGTAGATCAAAGAGAAAAGCATGAAAATCGTAAAAAAATGCATCAGAGCTTAAAGAAAAAGATTTTGATCATATTAACTCATTTAAAGGAAGATTGAGTCTTTATAGTTTAAAAAATAGTAGGAAACTAAAATATAATTCAAAAACCGAAGATTCTGATAATTGAATTGGAAATTCGTTGTTTCTTTCTTGTTTCATTTAGTTTTTGTTCAATTTAAACGTTCGATAACTAAAAGGTCCAATGTCAACAACAAAATTATATTAGATATGAAACATTTAATTAGTAAAAGTTACTGCATACTTTGTTTTGGCAGCGGCGGTGGCCATAGTAGTAGACGTTTCGTCTCCTAATCAGTCGACGTGCACTGCGAGGGTTCAAATCCCGTCCCAAGGGAAATGTTTCTCTTGGCTATGGATGTTGTGATTGTCCGTACGTGGTAGAGGGTCTCTGACTATCGTACGCGGAGGTACCACCCTGCGGATCTCGTCGGCGGGGCCAGAATGTGCACTCGAGTTCCCTCGCTAGAGTCCGTGTGGCGTCCCCACCTTTGCCCCTGTATCCCCCTATAGCCCCACGGTACCCCATGGGTGTTTAGGCCTTAAGCCTTCGTGTAGCTAGAGTAGAAAAAAAGATCTCCATAAAAATAATATACTTAGTTT